TCCTCCTCTATATTTGAAATCACTTCAACTGGCACGGCCCCTGATGCACTTTCCACGGTAGGCTCAAACGTAGGTCTCAATGCTGATCGCGTAAACCGCCTCAATGGCCGGCCTTGCAAATCCGTTTCCCCCTCATTACAACTAGGCTCATCTTTAACTTCAACTTCAACCAAGTCCGCTTCCATATCATGCTCCTCGACCGAAGGCCCTGAGAACTCACTGTAGGGCCCATATCCACTACACCTACGCATCTCCAATTTGCAATTTGGTTCATCTTTAACTACAAATTCAACTGATTCGCCTCTTTCAGAGCCCTGAGGAGAAGGGCTTTCATCAATTCTCAGCTCATCCGAGCTCTTAAGCCCATTTATTTCCGCATCATCGGAAAACGCATTTCGGCCATTGATCCGAGACCTTCTCTCTCGGGTATAAACAATTACACCATTCACAACAGCACCTTTAAACCTCTTAAAGTTGAGGTTCTCATAAACCCGCACACAAGGACTCGTCTGGGACTCGGTCTGAGTCCCAGTCAGTGAATCGGTGAGCTGAGACTGGCCCTCCAATACACAAGCCAATTCTCGCTTCATGCCGGTTCAATGAAACACCTCGCCCCACAAATCGTCCCCAAAATCTGCAAAGGCCCCAGAAAAAAAAAAATTTAAACTAAAATTTAACAAAGTTTCCAAATATTTGAAACGATATTGCTAAAACCCTAAAAATCTAGGGTTTAAAACGAAAATTGAGGAAGAAATAGTGTACCAGGTATATCAGATGAGAGCCATGTGAACGAAATTGGTTCGAATTGTCACTCTGAGATGGCAACGAAATGTGAGAGAGAGATCGGATAGAGGTAAATTAGGGTTTTTGAGTGACTTTCGCTGATATATTTTTGCTATTTTGGGTGTAGATTTGGTAGAAGAGAGGCGCAGACGTCCACGATATCGCTGTTATTGGAAGGGGAACTGACCCAACTCAGAGAGAGAGAGAGAGAGAGATAGAGAGCAGAGACAAGCATCAGTGGCCTATAGGAAGGGACCAATGGCAGGATCCGTAAATAAGTTGAGTTAATAGGTAAAATGACCAAAACGTCATTACACCTAGTTTTCCACGCCATCCCAACATAACTCAGTTTTTCTTTTCCTTTTTACAACAAAGGAAAATGAATTTTCAAAAAAATAAGGAAAATTGTTTTTACCAAAAATAATAATAATAATTGCATTTAGTCGTTCACCTACTCCAGTAATTATCGTTTTGATAATCCCAGTGAAGAAAATTACCAAATTACAACTGCTCTTCGTTTTTCAAGCCATCTAAAACTCCGAAAGTTTGATACTTTTTTTCCGCATTGAAAACAAATAAGTGATTGATAGTCATCAACTAATGACTTGATGTGGAAATTACCAAATTATCCATGTTTTAAATAACTTTTATCCATTTCTTCCGTATACATTTTTCATTTGGGTTTTCTACGGTTTCGCCCTCTGAACGATTTGCAAATTGTCAATTTAGCCGCTTAACAATTTTTTTGGTAAATTAAGAACTCCGGTCCAATTGTTTAAAAATCGTCAATTGAAAGTCTACCGTCAGATTCTCAAGGACGCCATTCACTTTTCCGTTAGATTAAGGTCAAATTCATAATTTTGTGAAAATTACGCCTTATTAAAATATCAAATAATAGTATTAAATAGTTGTTTAAAAACAATATGAAAAATTTTATAAATTAAATTAAATTAAAACTCATCCCTCATCTTCTTCCACAAACCCTAGCACCCCATCATCTCCTCACGCCCACCCTACCCTCTCATGAACGCCACCCGCCTCCACCCTACCCTAGTGTCACCGCCTCCCATCACTTCATCTTTCTCTCTCCCTCTGTCTCTCTTCCCTTTTCTCTCTTTTCCCCCTCTCTATGTTTTCCATTTCTCTTTCTCTTCCCCCTATGTTTTCGAACAAACCAGGGTTGGGGTATGTATTCGTTGAGTTCGACACCCTTATGAACAATAACTAGACGTGTGATATGTATCTCGGGTGTGGATGGTGGCGTTGGGCTTGGGATGGGATGGGATGGGTCTCGCAGGGTGGGGATGCGGAGTTGTATGGTGGCGTTGGGCTTGGTAGTTTTCTGGGTAGAGAGAAAAACAGAGGATGAGAGAGAGAAAGAAAGGGAGAGAAGGATGGAGGGGGAAGGGGGGACTAAAAGTTGGGTCGAGGAATTGGGGTTCTATGAGGTTGATTCAGTGAAGGGGGTGAACTAGAGGGTGTGTGGTCGATGGGGGTTGAGAGAGAAAGAGAGAGAGAAATAGTTGGGGTGTGGCACAGAGAGATTAGAGGTGGAGGGTGGGGGGGTGAGATGGAATGGGAAAAATGGGAAGGGGAAGGTGAGGGCGACGGAAGGGAAAGGAGAGGGAGGGGAGAAGGAGGGGGAGGCTGAGTTGATTTTTTGTCTTTCTCTTTTTTTAAAAAAAATTAGTTTGAAATGTTAAATATTTATTTTATTCAAAATTAAAATTTTTTTTAAAATTTTTATAAAATTATGAATTTACCCTTTATTTGGACAAAATTTTTTATGAAATTTAAAAAAATTGACGGTACGCCTCAATTGGCGATTTTTGAACAATTGGAGTTCTTAATTTACTGAAAAAATTGTTAAGAGGCTAAATTGACAATATGCAAATAGTTTAAGGGACAAAACCGCATAAAACCTTTTTTTCTTCTAACAAAGTGATATTCAAAACTAATCAAACTCATATGCAAAAGTGCGGATACACTACTTTAGTTAATTAACTTAACCCACATAAATTGTTTCTTTCTTTCTTATACTTGTAAGTTGCATGACATGATTATGATTAGAATTTATCATAATTTGCAGCCATGAAAGTAAAAACATCTTCCCATTGCTTTCACCCTGCCCTCATAATCTTTTCCTACCTAAGTTCTTTTTAAATAACATAAAAACAATTAATTGATTTATCAATTAAAACAGTAAATTAAGAAGAAGGCTTTATAGTTTATAAAGTTTGTCAATGTGTCAACGGGGTCTGACCCAATAGAAAATGGCCCTAACTTGCAAACTAGAGGCCTTAACTTGTATGTGTGTATGAGAAATCTACCTCCTCTATAGTATATATTGTTCTAAAAATAATAATAATAATAAAGTTTGTCATAATGTGTTTAGTAATCAAGAATTAGAATTTTCATGAGGAATTGAATTCCACCTATTGAGATTTCATGCATTTACTTCACATGAAGGAATTAAAAAGTAAGTGGAGCCCATACAAAATTAGGTGAAATTCAATTCTTGGGTGGGAGGTGATATTTTAATTCATGAAAAATTATCCCATTAGGAATTCATCTTTTTTACCCATTATATCCTCACACAATTTTAAAATTTTAAAATTTGTCATCTACTTTACCCAACAACGAGGATATTTTAGTAATTAGAAGCACTCCTACCCCAATTCCATATGGTTTAGTAAACAACTTCAATAGGAATCTGAAATTTAACTTTCATCAATCCATATGATTTAGTAAACAACTTCAATAGGAATTCGGAATCTAAATCTCCTCAATCAGACTCCTCCTCATTTCAATTCATCCTCAATTCAATTCCTCTTAATCCAATTACGAATTAGTAAACATGTCATCAATGTAGCATATTTGTTTTTTACCATTATAACCCCTTAAGTAAATTTGTGTTCTTTCTGCCGCTTTCTTTTAACAAATGGCCTAGTTTTAAAAATAAAAAAAAAATTAGTAAATTTTTTTTATTTTATAAAGGAAACAAATGGCCTATTTGGATTTTCTAAAGTACACCAAACGTTTCCAACTATAGATTCTCATCCAAGTTTACCGTACAGGCTACATGAGTGTGCAACACACTTGCATCCTTGAGCAGCCAATATACATAGAAGAGAATAAATTACCAATTACGAAAATACCCTTAAAGCAAGGAAGCTATTGGAATTGACTAAAATAGCCCTAGCAAGCTTTGGCTTGCGGCCACTATGCCCCCATCACCAACACGACGAACATGGTTTGTTAGTGTAACTCAATAAAATTAAGATAGTTTTTGTTTCACTTACTAAAAATCTCATATCATTGCTCTTGTTGTAATGCATGTGTTATCCTTTCAGTTTGGATGCTGTTGAGACCCAAAAAAGTCACAGGAAGCCCAAAGACATTTAAAGCCCAATATAATATATAATGTTGGCTATGCATTAATCAAAGCTGTATTTTGGGAATTAATTTATTAAATAAATATAGAAATAGTGTACATGCTATGCCAAACCAATAATACATTTTTCATATGTCAATCACCTACCAAACTCACATGAACCCAAGTCACGTGGTTTACGGGGATTTCACGAGGAATTGTGGTGTGGAAGGTTGCAGAGGTCCACAAGGTCCACGGAAGCTCTTGGATAATGGAGACTTTGAGCTAGTTACTTAGGAACACCAATGTCCAAGCCCATTACTTAGAGTTCTCCAATGTGGGTGAGCAAATGAGATATTTTTCAAGCACTTCATTTTACCCTTAGAAAATGGTCATTTTCCAAATGCCTAGCTTTACCAATTGGAAACAAGCCTTTTCCAGCACTCCCTATTACCCGCTAGAAACAAGCCGTTTCCAGCGCTTCCTTTTACCTATAAGAAATAATCAGTTTATGGTACCTAGCTTCACCTGCTGGAAAATAGCATGCTCCAGTGCTTCCTTTTAACCATTGGAAATAGTCTGGTTCTGGCACCTCCTTTTACCTATTGAAAATAAAGGAAAACCCTGACATTCTATAAATTGGCATTCATGGCTCAAGCAACTGGCACCAATTTTTCTTCAACCATCAAGCCCCCTCATTCGGCTGCTGCAAGCAACACAGCAGCCATCAACCCTCTTCTTCTTCAGCCATCAGGCTCTTCCTTTAGTTACTGGAGTAGCACAACAACTTCTTGCTTTGGCTGCTGCAAGGATCCAAGCAGCCATCAACCCCCTTCTTCAATCATTACACCTCCTTCCTAGCTGTTGCAAGCACCCCAGCCCTAACCTCATCTCCTTGAAATCCATCATCGTCTCTATAAAGCCTTACAAAGCATAACTTCAAGCTTTTCCTTCCTTCCAAGTTGTAAACACCATAGCCTTCAAACCTCAAGCTTTTCCTCCCATCCTTATTCTCTTGAAACTCTTAAATCCCCATAGTCATAGCCACAAACTATAAATTCTCAATACCCAAACTCAAGCATATCAAACACCAAGCCAAGCACAAGCATTCTCATTTGCTAAACTTGTGGGTCTTTAGCTCCCACACTCCAAGCTCTCATGCCAAGCTTATATAATCTCATATCAACATCAGGAAGGCATCTTCAACTCATCCAAGGCGAGCAACATCCTTACTCATTGCTGGAAGCTTCAATTTCAAGCTGTGTTCTTCCATTTTCTTCTCTCTTTCCCATAAACACATTTAGATAGAACAAGCATCATCTCTTACCTTTGAAATCTTCCATTTCTTCTTTTCCGGCAAGCCATCTAAGAGCTTGACGAAGCTTCTGTCAAGCTGTTGGAAATCTGCTAAAGCCACACATCCTTTATCAATTTCTCTCTCTCTCTCTCTCTCAAAAAGCTCCATCCCAAGTCTAAAACTCTCATCTTCTCAAGCTAAGTTGAAACCATAGTCATTACCTTTTTGGGAAGAAAATGCAAACATCCGAAACTCTTCGTCTAGCTGCCAAAAACACCCAAAATCTCAAGCCTTAATTATTTCTTCATGCTCATTTTCTCTTAGCTCCCAAGCCACAAGCCTTTCATGCCGAGCCTAGTATTATATTGATTCACCAAAGCAAACTCTCGTACCAAGCCTGTGCAACATCGATGCACCATCTTCAACTCTTTGTCTAGCTGTCGAAAACATTAGCACAAAACATGTCACATCCCGGGATCAGCTCCGTCGTAGCACGATATTGTCCGTTTTGGGCCCCCCCTCTCTACCCTTACGGTTTTGTTTCTGGGAACTCACGAGCAACTTCACAGCGGGTTACCCATCATGAGATTGCTCTAGCCCCAACTCGCTTAACTTCGGAGTTCCTATGACTCTGAAGCCAGTGAGTTCCCAAAAGGCCTCGTACTAGATGAAGGCGGGCATGTACATATAAGGCACATCACCCCCTCTTCATTGGTCGATGTGGGATCTTACAATCCACCCCCTTAGGGGCCCGACGTCCTCGTCGGCACACTTGCACCACACGGCAGAGTAACTCTAATACCAAATTGTCACATCCAAGGATCGGCTCCGCCGTAGCACGATATTGTCCGTTTTGGGCCCCCCTCTCTGCCATCACGGTTTTGTTTTTGGGAGCTCACGAGCAACTTCCCAGTGGGTCACCCATCCTGGGATTGCTCAAGCCCCCAACTCTCTTAACTTCGGAGTTCCTATGACTTCGAAGCCAGTGAGCTCCCAAAAGGCCTCGTACTAGATGGAGGCGGGCATGTACATATAAGGCACATCACCCCCTCTCCGTTGGTCGATGTGGGATGTTACAATCCACCCACTTAGGGGCCCGACGTCCTCGTCGGCACACTCGCACTACACGGCAAAGTGGCTTTGATACCAAATTGTCACATCCCGGGATCGACTCCGCCGTAGCACGATATTGTCCGCTTTGGGCCCCCCCTCTCTGCCCTCACGGTTTTGTTTATGGGAACTCACGAGCAACTTCCCAATGGATCACCCATCCTATGATTGCTCTAGCCCCAACTCGCTTAACTTCGGAGTTCCTATGACTCCGAAGCCAGTGAGCTCCCAAAAGGCCTCGTACTAGATAGAGGTGGGCATGTACATATAAGGCACATCACCCCCTCTTCGTTGGTCAATGTGGGACGTTACAAAACACGCAGCTGCTGGAAGATAACACAAGCCCTATAGTCATAATGTCGGAAGAGTGAACCATCATGCCACCAAATTTGAAAGAAGAGCCCTAAATCTTAGTACTGGAAGGCAACTCAGTGGACTCCAAAACTAATATCTAGTCCAAGTGACTTAAGGCTTCCATATTGCAATGCTTATTTGCCAACACCTATACCACTTTCAAGCCACCGCAGACACTGTCATGCTCAAAGCCTTAAGCATCTTCCTCTATATTTTTCATATTCTAATCTACCAAAGCCTTCATGCCAGACCAAGCTATATCTTGATTCAACTCAACCATTAGATTATCCACATCCTCATAGCAAGTCTAAGCTAATCATGCCAAGCCAAATCACGTTCTTCTAGCACATATTCCACATTAAGTAAAGCACTGCCAACACCTACTCCACATGCAAAGAATTTCTAGCAATTGCCCTATTTCAAACATCCTGCCAGTGTCTGTGTCATAACCTCCATAACTCAATCCATCCTTACAACAATTAAACAAACTTATTGTATCTCTAAAAGAACACTCGAAGTAACCTCAACGACTAGCTTGTTCTTCTCATGCTTTGGAGCCTTTCAATCTAGTCTGAAAAAAGATATAGACACTAAAAAAAAAAAAAAGCATAGATTTTCCTACATTCATACATTCATCCACCTGCAACATCAACAACAACTATCGCCTCCTCATGCAATTTCTCATATCTTCTCATCTTTGAAATCTATCATTCCCTTATAAATCATGACCTCATCATCACCATCATTCTTCTCAGAGATGCTCGTTTTATGAAGATGAATGCTTCAGCACTTGGACTTGCATCATTACTATCATTTACTTCACACACAAAACTCCAGCAAAGTAGAGAGATGATGCATAAGCAGCAAGCAAACTCATCAACCGAGCATTTGACAAATTCACATGGCATAAAACCAATCCACAGGCCAAGAAATTTCATTTCATTCAAGCATTCCAAGCAATTTAGGCATTTCAAGCAAATTGAAAAACTCATGCTCTTGCGACAAAACCATACAACATCATGCTCTAACAATAATATTGCTCAAGATCATACTCTAGCAATGCCCAAATAAGCACTCAATACCAAGAGAAAGGACATGCTAAATTCTCAAACAAGAGCAACATGCCAAGCAAAACTTATACACAAGCTTTCCAACTATTCTAGCTTGAACATCCCACCTTTGGAAAATCATTAAAAATCAAGCTTACAACCAACAAATCCCAAACTTTCCAGATTAGAACTAGAAATATCAAGTTTCATTTTCCCAAAATTTTATTGCATTTAGATCTAGGTAAGCATATCAAACAGATTCCCAAAACACGTCATGCAGCAGAAACTGCACAATTCCAGCAGCTTAGCCCTTTGAAATTGCACCAAAAATTCATTTTTCCTTCAAATGGCACAACACTAGTTCCAACACAACCATGGAGAAGTCTATTTTCATGCGTCACAATCTCCAACTCAGATTCCAAGTGAAACATTTTAAAAGTTCAAAGAACAGCCCACAAACTACTGTGAGACATTTCCACAAACACTTGGCATGCATTACATAAGTAAGCTTGTATAAGTCTTGTTTACCACCAAGCTAAAATCCTAAATCGAAAGCTCAACCTCAAAATTCAGTACCTAACTCACTAGTTTTGAGAAGTGCAATGGAATTCAAGTTTCAAGCATAGAAAACAAGCATGCAACAAAGGCATCAACATCAACTCATGAACATGCTTCAGAAAAATGGAGGCAGAGAGCACTACAATGGGTGGATGATTTTCAATTTTGGATATGTTATAAACAACATAATTTTGAGAAAATTTTGTGGAGCAAGCGCAATCATCCGAGTATCAGAAGTTAGAGACACCTGCAGAAGCAGAATCTGCAGAAACTCACCAGCCATGGATGAACACAGAAGTTACAGACCAACTTTGAGGCATCAGAAAAATTCAAAAAATCCTACATATTTTACAGGCTATAGTACTCGAGCAGATGAACAACTTTCATCAAGGAAGTTTTCTGATCTGAGCTTTCGAAATATGACTTATGTACTGATGCACAGTACCCACGGGTTTGAATCTTGAAGAGAGAAGAAAGAGTTAAATGAGGGTCATGCTATAGAAACAATTCAAATTCAGTCCACAACCACACCAATGCCAAAACCTAAAACATTCAAGCACATCTACCATGCGAAATAGTCCAAAAGTTATATTAAACCGTGTCACCTTAGCCAATACCAAGCGTACAGGCGAATACCAAGCATCCAAGCATACAAACCAAAGCTAAGTGTACAAGTCAATACCAAGCATACAGGCCAATGCCAAGCATTCAAGCCAATACCAAGCATACAAGCCAAAACCAAACATACAAGCCAATACCAAGCATACAAGCCCAAAATCAAGTGTATACACAAATGTCAAGCATCCAAGCCAAATACCAAGAATACATGCCAATACCAAATATACATGTCAAAACCAAGCATGCAAGCCAATATCAAGCATACAAAACTAATATCAGACACACAAGTCAATGCAACTCTTGTAAACACAACCATGCCAAATCAGGCATCTCTTGTCACTCAAGCACATCAATCACGCAAGCTAACTTATTTTGGGCTAAAATTCAACCAAGCCTTATCTTCTCTGTCATGCCACAAAATAAGCCAACTTTTGGTAACCCTAATGAGTAAACTTCGATATTACAATGTCTAGGAAAGTTCTTCAAGGCGACACCCTCGGTGTCTAAGAAGGTCTGGTTTTAAGCGGGACCATTGCGACCCTTCCAACCTTTCTGGAAAAAACCTGGTTGTGATTTCGAAAACTCTTAATTGGTTATCCTTGAGCGTTACGTTTAAGTATATATATATATATATATATATATATATATGACCAAGCTAGTAGTTGCCAAAACCATGCTAATCTTCATGCCAAGAAACACAAAACGACTACGGCAAAGCAAGCAAGCATGGATATTTCATGCATATTGAAGAACCAGCCATGCCATGCCACTGCCAATTATTTTGGGCTGAAATTGATTATTTGGCCCATCTCGCTACCACTTCATGGCCCCAATAATCAAGGGGGCTAATGTTGAGGCCCAAAAAAGTCACGGGAAGACCAAAGACATTTAAAGCTTAATATAACATATAATGTTGGTCATGAGTTAATCCAAGTTGTATTTTGGGAATTAATTTATTAAATAAATATAAAAATAGTGTACATGCCATGCCAAACCAATAATACATTTTTCATATGTCAATCACCTACCAAGCTC